CAGAAAACAATCGGACAGCCGGCACCCACCGACGAAACGGCCGGACAACGGCTCCGGCGCGGCCCGACGCGACGGTGAGCGCGCCACACCGAGAGGGGTGGGCCGAGCGTACAGGGCCTGCCTGACCCGTCCACGCGTCTGCGGCCGCACCGATGTACCGCTGGTGCTGCGGTCTGGCGTGTGCAGAGGTGCACGCTGTTCGAGCCTATTGGCAGTGGTGGCTTGACGTCTGTCAAGAACACGGCTGTACGCCCGTGTTGTGTTAGCAAGCAACATGCTCCCTATGACATTCCCAAGCCCATGCAGGATAGAGTAGCAAAGGGCATGGCAAGACAGGGCAACACGAAACAACGAGGGGTAGAACAGACAGTACAGGACAAAGTAGAGCGGGCCAAAGAGCAAAACAGGACAGACAAGACAGAAAAGAGCAGGGAGAGACACGACCGTGGAAACAGGGGTGCGCCCCGCTTGCGTGGAATTTTAAGGCCCCCCTGTGTGGTGAATGAGGAGAGTTCAAAACGGGTGTAGCCTCCGCACTCCGTCCCTTTCATTTTCTGAGACGTTCGTTACACATCTGGCAAGTAGAGCAGCATAGGCCAAGAGTGGAAGAGCAGGTCAGAACAGCGCAGGACATCTCGCCAGTGGATATTTTTCTCGGACGAGTGAACGGACCGCGGCCGGCACAGACACGGAGGATGATTGGAGTCAACGATACCAAATACCATGCGTGGTATCTTTGATGAGCAGAGTGACCCTTAAAAACTGATGAGGCTGTGGCAGGTCATAGTCTCGGCTTTGCTCAACTGGCAGACAGTTAGCGTTACTTGTCAGTTAGCGTCTGGGCCACGTGCTTGCCCAGGGCCCAGCGCTGCTTCGGCCGGTCATGCGAGTTCCCGAGCCGGTCTGGGGCTCAGCCCAGGGACAAGCTCCCGAGCCAGTCTGGAGCTCAGCCAGGGATGAGTTCCCAAGCCGGCCTGGGACCAGCCCAGGGGTGAGGTCCCAGGCCGGCCTGGGGCTAGCCCAGGGATGAGTTCCCAGCCGGTTGGGGCTCAGCCCAGGGGCGAGCTTCCGAGCCGGCCTGGGGCTCAGCCTAGGGACAAGCTCCCGAGCCGGTCTGGGGCTCAGCCCAGGGATGAGTTCCCGAGCCGGTTGGAGCTCAGCCCAGGGACGAGCTTCCGAGCCGGCCTGGGGCTCAGCCAGGGATGAGTTCCCAAGCCGGCCAGGGACAGCCCAGGGTTGGGGTCCCGGGCCGGCCTGGGACCACAGCCCAGGGTTGAGGTCCCAAGCTGGCCTGGGACCAGCCCAGGGGTGAGGTCCCAAGCCGGCCTGGGACAGCCCAGGTGGGGGGTCCGGGCCGGGCCTGGGACCAGCCAGGGTGAGGTCCCGGGCCGGCCTGGGACCAGCCCAGGGTTGAGGTCCCGGGCGGGCCTGGGACCAGCCCAGGGTTGAGGTCCCGGGCCGGCCTGGGACCAGCCCAGGGTTGAGGTCCCGGGCCGGCCTGGGACCAGCCCAGGGTTGAGGTCCCGGGCCGGCCTGGGACAGCCCAGGGTTGAGGTCCCGGGCCGGCCTGGGACAGCCCAGGGTTGAGGTCCCGGGCGGGCCTGGGACCAGCCCAGGGTTGAGGTCCCGGGCCGGCCTGGGACCAGCCCAGGGTTGAGGTCCGGGCCGGCCTGGGACCAGCCCAGGGTTGAGGTCCCGGGCGGGCCTGGGACCAGCCAGGGTTGAGGTCCCGGGCCGGCCTGGACCAGCCCAGGGTTGAGGTCCCGGGCCGGCCTGGGACCAGCCCAGGGTTGAGGTCCGGGCGGGCCTGGGACCAGCCCAGGGTTGAGGTAGGGCCGGCTGGGACCAGCCCAGGGTTGAGGTCCCGGGCGGGCCTGGGACCAAGGGTTGAGGTCCCGGGGGGCCTGGGACCAGCCCAGGGTTGAGGTCCCGGGCCGGCCTGGGACCAGCCCAGGGTTGAGGTCCCGGGCGGGCCTGGGACCAGCCCAGGGTTGAGGTCCCGGGCGGGGACCACCTTGAGTCCCGGGCTGGGGGGACCAGCCCAGGGTTGAGGTCCGGGCGGCCTGGGACCAGCCCAGGGTTGAGGTCCCGGGGGGCCTGGGACCAGCCCAGGGTTGAGGTCCCGGGCGGGCCTGGGACCAGCCCAGGGTTGAGGTCCCGGGCGGCCTGGGACCACCCAGGGTTGAGGTCCCGGGCCGGCCTGGGACCAGCCCAGGTTGAGGTCCCGGGCCGGCCTGGGACCAGCCCAGGTGGGTCCCGGGCGGCCGGGACCAGCCCAGGAGCTCGGGCGCCGTCCCGACGAGGGCGGCCAGTCGTGGCACATGTATGCGGAAGGTTCTTCGTGCTGTCCGATGAGGGCGGCCAGTCGTGGACACGTATGCGGAAGGCTGGTTCGGAGTGGCGTTGACACACATTGCTTGCGGTCGGCTATTTCAGGAACACGCTCGCAAACAGGGGGGTGAGGTGTCTGCGGTTTGGGGCCGGCGTGTTGCTGAGGGTCGGCCGTCAGAATGGCAGGGGGACCGGCCGTGCAGTGAACGGCGAGCAAAGGTAATGCGGACATTGCGCAATTACCATGAGTCACGGAGTCAGTGTTGACCTATCGCTTGGCCGCCCGCCTTGCAGCTGCGGCGAACTATGTGCGCAAATATGTCAGCGCGCGGTGCTTTATCACGTAGACCGAATTAACAGGAGCACTGCCACTGTTGTCAGGAAATCGAACTAGGATTTCTCAGCCGCCTGCGTCTAAGATTCGAATTCTTACGTGGTTTGTCAAGCAGTTCGGGCAGAATGTCCTACACCAAGTCAAAATTCATTTGAAGATGTACGCGAAGCAAGCACAGACCGGCACGCTATCAAATAGGCTGAGTTTATTGCATCACATTATCTCACACGCTGTGGTGGTGCTCAAAGCAAATCACTTGCTAGGCTGATGGAGCCAGACGCCTGTGACAGCCAACGCCGATAGCTTGATCTCGCGGTCCGAAAATCCGCCCCGTGTGGGCATAACGGGGACAGGCGTGACATTTGCCCCACTGATGTCACATTCGGGTGGCACGGCACAAATGCCGTCGGATGAAAATTGTTTGGCGATGGGTCTGGTCAGACCTGGTAACTTCAGCTAACGACATTGATGATTGTGCCGTCACGCTTTGTTTTGGCAATTGAAAGCAAAGTATCACGAACATCTTCCAAAATGGTTGACTAAAATCACAATGGGTCAAACGTCGTTTCGGATTGAGGAATCGCAGCTCTCCTGACTTTGCCGTCAGCCCGAGCTTCAAAACGGGCGTGAGCTCTATTCGGGGAAGTTAGACTTAGCGTGAAGGTGACAGTTTCAGTAATTTTCACACCCGGCAAGTCCCCCCCCCCCAGCTGATTTTGCAAATGTACGCTCTCCAAAGTCACAGGGCCAAGCGTCTAACTAGTTTTCATTCCCCCTATCTATTCCAGGATAGGACCCGCAGCTCATGTGCGAGACCAGTTTCAGCAAAGATGAAACTGGGCGCTCTCTGCCCGAATATTTGGTGCACTTTGGGTGGAACAGAACGCCTTGAATATGCTTGCCAGCTGCATCAGATGCATTCACTTACATCGTGCGGTTTGTTTTATGTCTCCATCTACCGCGACTACTTATATTTGAAATTAGTCCTAAAAGGCGTCGAAAACAGGCAGATCAGAGGTGCAAGTTCCACGACGTGGTTGAATATGTTTCAGCTATGGATTAATCAGCCTTGGTTCTGTGCTTCTAAATGCCGGTGTTTTCCATATATTTGCTTGCTTTTTTGCCATGCATAACAATTGATACATGTACTTGCTATGTTTTACCTTCATCTCTAGTTCTTCTGTTTTGGGGCTACGTTATTTGTGGAAACAGGAATTGGAAAGTATCAAGTCCATGTAATCTTGTTTTTTGCTTTCTTCGTGAAACTTTTTTGGGAGCCTTGCTGTTAAGCTGAGAGATCCTTGTGCCATTTTAGGGAAAGGGCTCTCAGCCATAGTTTGGGAGGTCAGTTGAAAGTTGGGAATTTCAAGCCTCCTTAACTGAGCACGAGCCTTTCCACCCTGGTCGGACCCATGATATGCCCACAAGCATGTGATCGGCTCACACCCCCGGCACCCATTTCAGAATGCAGCTGTCCGTTTCACCCCCTCCCCCCTATCAAATATGCCAGTGTCGTGCTGTCATGATTCCAGTAAGTCAAGGGTCAGAACCGCTTGCAACAGGGTTGTTCTTTTTCAAATTTGTAAGCGGCAGTTTGCCATGTTAAAGCGAGTGTTCCACTTTAAGTTATTGAAACAAGCAGAACTGATAGTAAGCTCACTTGTAACTATTGGTACACCTTAAGTAGAAATGACTGCTGTAGACAACCCAATATCCCGATCTAGTTAATAATATGGCTCAATGATTGTCATTGTCTGATGTCATCGTACTTTGCACAGCATTGATAAGAGCCAACTGACGGCCATGATATCTGGAGTCCGAGCTCATGAACGCCACATATGAACGACTCGACGATCTGCATTTTTTGTTTCGCCTTGATCGCCGCATGGCTAATGGAATATCAGGATTTGAATGATGTTGTTATAGCATCATGGATGCTTGTCTGACCTTGAAATAGTCTCCCCAAAATAGTCTGCACATACCCTCGGCATGTACTCCCTTAAATCGAATGATAATTAAAGAGTGTGCCAATACTGCGTTTTGTGTTGCTGAAATGACGCAAATCTGCGGTCGTTAGTTGCAAAGCTGACAACTGCTTGAAAGCGTGGCACCTGGATCGGGACGAGCCGTTTCAATTTAGGATGCATTCAAAGTTTCGTGGGCGCCGGTTCACCTGCGGCCTTGCCCGTAACT